TCTCTTAATAGAAAGGCTAAATTATGTTCTATCAGTATTCAGATTAGAATTCAGACTACACTCGTGTTCAGACACAGGGACACAATGCAGATTGAACTCACACAAATCGGCAACAGGAGATCAGTTTTGTTTTTTTTGTGGACACATAAGTGGTCCAAGTGGACGAATCTGGTAGTGCTACCACAGTACTGCCGTGCAATAACATCCGGTGTTCGTAAAGATAATGTAACCTAGTTCTACGTATAAAAATATACTCTTTACCCAACATGTGAAGAGACCAAAAACAGTGCTATTTCACTTGTTGGCAAATGTAGTATCTTGCACGCAGCGTCATTGCGGACGATAAATAAATAAATGAAATCTAGAACAGGACTGTAGGTTCTTCTCAGCCTCATGTTAATTCACACGAAATCAAATGTAGTGCCAACACTTAAAGTCCATTATGAATTCAAATCGACCCTTGAAATAAACGCACACACAAAATAACTCAACAATGACAGAACAATACTTTATATTGCCATGGTAAAAGAATGATTATTAGTTCAACGGCTGAGAGTCATCAATATTTCACTTCTTGTTTTGCATCTTTTTAAGTATTTCTTTTTTTTATTGTAGCGCTTAGTTGGGTCATTAATGTTCTTGTTTTATAAGACAAGAACATTGTTTTCTTCACTGTTTGTGAATTTTTCTCTGGTGTAGGCTACTTGATGTTTCCTCATGAGTGGTGATGCATAAACAGCCTGGAAGTTTATTGTCCTAGAGACGCGGATACACAAACATACATCAGTAAGTTTTCTCTCGGAGAGAGGCAGGAAGTGGATGTTGTGTGGAGGCAAGGAAGGAAAATAAGGAGTTCTTTTTGGCTGCATGTGTGTACCGAAGGACAGTTCCCACAGCACACTTCTCAAGCTCCTTCCACACGCACATGCGCGCAGTGGATGTGCCGCATTCCAGAACGTCTCAGGGGTACAAGGTCATGACTTTAATGGTAATGGATGACGTGGACACTCCTTCCCACAGACCAAACTCAAGAAAGAACGCACAAACACACACAAATATACACAAAGCATGAAGTATGTCAATGAGATGGTGACCGGCGGGTCAAGTGGTTAACCAGTGAGAAAACCTTTGACCTTGTACAGTGGGTCATAAATTCCTGGTCAGATTATGTAAACACAAGCAAGGAACAAATAACAAAACTTGAGTTGATTGTTTCGGACTAGCCTGACCTAACCACAAAAGAGAGTATTGTCTATGATTTCTGAGGACTGTTTTTTTTCTCTAATTACTGCGGTGAAATGAAGGAGGGAAAACGACATGATTCTGTCATTGTTTTCACAAACTTTTGGTGTTTTCCATTACTACCGTTAGAGGATAAAACTGTCAGAAGAGCTGAAAACCTACTTGGCACTGAGCAGATGGATTTTACAACATTTGTAATTGCTTTGCTCAAGGGTACAGAGATAAAACAAAGCATAATTCAAAGCTTATGGATATGGATGTCCCTTCCAAGAAATGAAACCCGCAACCTTTGTATTATCAGGCCAGATCGTCAAGCACCACCTCTCTTTTATGAATATTCAATATATTTTTACACATTTGTTTCGACACATAGAGTGGGATCCAAAAGTCTCAGACTGCATGGAAATTCTGTGAAATTCAAAATTAAATATAAATGGAATAAAACAATTTTAAGATTGAAAAACAACATGAAAGATACATACAGTACTAAAAACAAAAAAGAAATATTATGAAAACATTTTGGGGAAAATTTGATTCATATCGCTAATTATGAATATTCTTATCACCACGTTTTACATAAGTGCAGCTGTCATTAAAGCAAAAGGGAGAAAAACCCAAATATGAATACTTTCTGAGATTCATATGAATTTTTCAACCTTTTGCTTAAATTGTCATGCTAATAATTTCTAATAGAAAAAACTTCTATATGAAAGCTATATGTCAGTTGTTACTGATTTAGATAAATGAATATTGTAAACAAATAAGTTTTATTTTTTAAGGTTATTTATATACTTATTTATTTTTTATATACTTAGTTTTATTCCTACATGCACAATCATGCACACACGAAAACATTACCTGATCAGGACAAAATTCCTCTATCTCCCGTGGTCTCACCCTGATGACTTTACCAGAGAAACCCACAGTTGCCCTGTGCTAACAAATGCTGGAAAAATGCAACACTGGAGTATTTCCAAGCATATATCAACACACACACACACAAGACTCTTCTGCTTTGTCAGCGGGTAATACTGTATACTCCTGTTAGCTGGGTTTGCTAAATTGAGGCCCATGCTTCAGTGTATTACGGATGAATTTTTCAGCCTCTGGCCCAGATTTCTACTTTCAGTCCTTCCCATCATCCCTAAACTCAGGAAATCAGCACTATATCACATCGACTCACTGTCAAATGCGGTACATAACCAGTATTGCTCTGTGTGTAAATGTAATGGCTTGCAGTTCCAGGTGTAAAAACAAAGACAGATATCTGCGTAACCTGATCGCTGTGGCATCTCTCATAGTCTGCAGGTACACAGATAAAAACACTGATAATTTAGGGCCAACAGCCGACAATCACAAAACTGAAAGCATACACTTGTGTTGTTCCACTACTTAGTTTATGAACCAAATGTTTTCTGTTGGAAAGCATCTGGTGAGGCAGATTCAGATGGCACTGATGATCTAACACATTTCTTTTAATTTAGCTAGTTATTAAAATGTTATTTACACAGGATGAAAGAGCATCATGAAAGTAAACAGCTTTCATTTATGTCACTCTATCTGATCATTGCTTAGAATTTCTTTTTCAATCAGACAAGATGTCAGTATGTGAACTGTACCATCCTGCTTTCCTGGACGAGTGGATGTCACATGAGTAGAAACTTGATCAAATGAGAATGTTAGTCTGCTTGATAAGATTCTATGTACAAAATACATAAACTACATGCCCTTATTTACCCCACATACATTCCCTATAGAACTATAGATGTATCACTGCTTGACATCGCTGTGGTGATTTCGCCATTGTTTTGTAACCTGCAGCTGATTGCTGTCTGAAGACTTTTCTTATCTGTCCCGAGCACAGCGGGACAGCTGCCAGTCTGATCTCAGACATACAGAGAGAACACTGCAAAATGGCAGGAAATTCCCCTTTGAACAACTCCCAACAGCAGCAGCAGCAGCACAGAAGATGCCTTTAAAACTAGGCCATGAGCCTGTTACATAAGGGTACAGAATGAGACTTCAACAAAAGGTGTATATTTCTCATGGGGACAAGAAAAAGAGAGCATGTTGTGATTGAAATAGAAAATGCCAGCAGAGTATGGCTGACTATGACAGAATTATATATATATATATATATAATATACAGTAGTCAACATTTGAAGTGGATCAAAACCTTTCATCAAAGTTGTCCTAAAACCTAAAATCGAAATGCGTTCTTGTCTTAGGACAACTTTGATGAATTTTTTGATCCACTTCAAATGTTGACTACTATATATATACTATACTATATATATATATATATATATATATATATACACACACACACAAAATGTAATTCAGTCTCAACTTCAGAATATGCAGGGATTCAAAATTCAAGAGGGAATTCAAAAAAAGGAGAGAGAGAGAGAGAAATCATATGTATAATGGCAACAATTAAAAAGTGTTTCATATAAGCATGTCATACTTTTTTTATATTCTTGTGACTTTGTGACTGGATTTCCAGGACTGACCTGCATGTTTTGTTTTCATCAAAGACGTGAACTCAAAAGTAAAGTGTTTTTGCCACCTAGTGGACATAATGAACAATGAGCTGAGAAAACTGAATTATATGATAACATTTGTCATTTTAGTTATGTCATTATGTTTTCATATCCAGACTGACCCACAGTACATTTCATTAAGGACAGTCAATATGGAGGAATATGGTCAAGTTCTTAACGGGCATAACTTAATAGCTATTTAATTTAAATTATATTTACTATAATTATTAATTAATTGTATTAATGCAATATTTAACCTGAAAAATGACACCCTTTTACTGTTTTATGGATCTGTGAATGAATGGATCAGTATTAAGGATTTCTATATTCAATATTAGTCTAGTAAGCAACAGAAACAACTGATATATTAACTGTATTATATATTAAAAGACATCTTTTTGTTATCTGATGTGGTTTCATGTCACAGAATGAGGTAGAAATTATACTGTTTTATAGTATTATACTACACATCATTGATAAAAGCTATGTCAGTTAGCAATGCATTATAAATGTACTTTATTCTCATAAAACCCGAGGTGGCTTAATGAACACAGATGAACCTTACATTATTGCAATCACATGTTTATTGTCTTCATGTTTCGTCAGTTAAAACATCTCTATCTGCGTTTTATTAAGCTACAGCTACAGCCAGATAACTTGTCCATATAAGAGATTTACTGAACTGTCATAAGTTATATTACTGAGCCCTACAAACAAGTACAAACCTGGTGTTCTTTATCATGTTTGGCAAATAAAGAAAATGATTCTCTGAAAGAACATTTTTGTAGAACATTAACGTCCTTTGACAGTCACATGCCAGTTTATGAGATGAATTGCACTGCCTGTGGTTGTTTTCAGAGATGGTAACATCTTTTATTAATAAAAATAATTATTGTGGTACAATTTAGTTTTCTGTGCTACAAAACTTTCAACCTCTGTAGCACTAGTGCTATGTGCAAAAAAAGTTAACGTACAGCCCTGATTAATACCAAGAACCTTATAAAGATCTAATTCAGAAAAGCTAATACTGCTATTTAAGCCCTTTTGGAACTAAAACAAGACAAAAAACAAGACTACATTTTTTTTTTAATTAATTTGTTGTTATATAATCACTTTGAATTCCTTGGCAGTATGAGGGTATATTATCCTGAAATATGAGTATATGATGAGAGGTTAGTGCATATTACTATGTCGCAAAGACAGGTACACAAATGTAAAAATCTCACCAAACATTTGCTGTGGTAAAAGAAGCCTTTATTTCATTGTGCATTAAAATGCAAAAGCCAAATGAAGTGAGTTTGATTGAGTGTGTTACAACAGTAAGTCAACATTATGTGTATTAAGTCACAAAGAGATTTTAAAGAGTGATTTTTAAGTCATGCATTACAATTTGGAATAATTGTGCTTATAGTTGCCATATAGTGGCACCCGTAAGATTATTTAAGACACAGCACTATTGGTATGCTAGGTACATTTTCCAGCCCTTGTTGCCCTCATTCAGATTTTTGTCGACAAAGTTGACACCGGCTTTCTGATACACGGTCCAGGCATCAGGGTTGATCAGCAGAACCAGGTTTATGATCTGCGACTCACATCCTTTGTTCAGGTACCACGCGTAGACATCGTTTCCACCGGTTCCAGAGTTGAGATTAATGCTGAGCTTTTTGAAGTCTTCATTCTGAAGCTTTACATTTTCCTGGAAGTTGATGGATGCATTAAGAGCAGTGAGAGCCTTGCTCTTATCAGTTGAGCGGCGATACCAGAGGAAGACGTAGTTTCCACCAGCATCACGATTGGTGTCTTCATCCACACGAGTGAAGCCCAGATCAAACTTTTGCTTGTCAGAAGAGAAGTCAACAGTTGCTGTGATCTCACAGATGTAGCTCGGCTTCTCTCTCTTTACCCAGAGATAGATGAACATTCCTCCCGCCTTACGGTTCAGATCACAGCCCAGTCTCTCCCAGCCATCTTTCAGAAGAGCAGGTTCTTCTTTGGCATCTTTGCTTACCTCGAGGCTCGTAATGGGAATGTCAGATTCAGTGCTGCCGTAGAAGTACCAAAGAAAGATGGGATTTCCACCAGCTCCTGCATTCAGATCCTTGTCCACCAGCTCATACCCAGCATCCGCCAGACCAGCTTTCATTTTGTCATTGAATGAAAACTGGATCCTGGTCACAGGTTTCAAGCCACACTCTTTCTTGTACCAAAGAAAGACCTGTTTTTTACCAGTACCTTCATTGAGGTCAGAATTGATGAGCTGATAACCATTAGCTGCAAGTATTTCCTCCTCATCCTTAGTGGTGGAGACATTGAGCTTTGTTATTAGATGTGTTGCCATTTTTTTTTCTTCGCAGAGGAAAAAAAAGAGCAAAAAAAGGGAACTTTGTTTATTTATTGCTTGATTACACAATAAGATAAATATATAAATTCTTTATTCACTGTATTCATTTCTGACGTGCATAGCATTTCAAATTTTTGTTAGTAAAAAAATGTTTTAGTGCTAATGTGACAAGCACTTCAGTACTTAATTTAAAAATAATTAATAAAATAATTTATGCATTTAGCAGACGCTTTTATCCAAAGCGACTTACAGTGCATTCAGGCTATACATTTTTTTACCAGCATGTGATATTCCTAAAAATTTATATATATGTACATTTCCAGCATGTATAGTACTTAATAGTAGTAGAGTAATATGTACTCTTCACATACATATTTTGGCACATTACATGTATTTGCATATATCTACTTCAAAGCATTTCACGGTAGAAAAATACTACATGTTAAATATTTGTTGTAATGAAAGTTACATTTATCTGAAGTATATAGTGCCTCATATTGTCTCAAAGCAGTCTCACCTTAATAAACAGGAAAATAACAGCGTTGCAAAATAAACTGGAAACACTATACAGTAAGGTCCTATTTGTTAACATAAGTAGCTGCATTAGCTGCACCATGATCAATATATTTTAAATCATTTATTTATTATCTTAGTTAATGTTAGTTCAAAGGGCATTAATTAATGTTAACAAATACAATTTTTGATTTAAAAATTTTTAAAATTTTATGTTGAAATTAATATTGACTAATATTAATAATTACTGTGGAAGTATCGGTCATTGTTAGTTCATGTAAACTAATGTACTTAACTAATGTTAACAAATGAAACCTTATTGTAAAGTTCTGCCAATTAATCAGTTGCTGAAATGCTCAAATTTCAGCTGTAAAGCAGCTCTACAGAAGACAATAGTGTAATTATTCAGCTCGATGTTAGTTCAACTCAGTTCAATAACAGTGTCAATGCTGCCAAGTTCATCAGTTATGAAGCTAATTCAATTCAACTCTAAAGCAGCTCTACAGAAGGTAATAGTGTCAGTTCAATGTTGATTAAATTTAGATCAGTAGATTACCACCTTACCAGTAAATGCAGGACCTGTCTTGCTTGTTGTAGAAGACACAGATTTTGGCTGATGATAACAGAACTGATTTTTGAAGAGCTTTCGTAGGACTCTCACTTATATATCACATAATCTGCTCCTCACCCTTGCTGTTATGTCGTCATTAACCAACTTATTTCTCAACCTAGCACATGACCAACCTCTAACATTGAGATGGGGTTAAAGAAATGTCTGTTTTTTCTCAGAGTGTAGGAATTTACAGAGCCTAAAAAAAGTCCAAACAGGTTAGGTGTGATAAGTTTGTTTTTTTAATGTAATTTGTTTCTTTTTCCAGTCAAGATGCGGTTTTATGTCTTGTCTAGATTTGGTGTTTTTTGTACAGTACTGATCTTGTTGAATTGTTTGGCAGTTTAAGAAAATAATGGGAACAAAGGAACATTCTTACTCATCCCTTTATTGTACTGAATAAGTAGACTGAACTCTCCATCATCACTGGCAAGGCAAACGTGGCCTTGGAAACATTACAGTATGTGTAACCCCTAGGTTTTCCAAGACCAAAGGTGATTTTAAAGTACAAAATCTGCTCTATCCCTGTGCTTGATTTATAATTATCAAAAATGTTCTTGCTTTTTTATTATTATTTGTCTGTGCTCCAAGTTAACAGTTAACAGAATTTCATATGGCTTAAATTAAGGTGTATATTTAGACATTCTGTCAGTTGATTAGATTTTCTGTGATACACTGGCAATCCCATCTCTCCATTTATCCATACTTACCTCACCATAAAACCACATATATTTCATACAATGAACTGAATAATTCTGAACTGTTTCTTTTGATCTCACTCTATGTTGTTGTCAGGTCAGGGAAGACTTGCACAAAACCTTTACTTTAACAGCTCATACCAACTGGCCTCAATTACACTCATTCCTAAAACTCAGTCCCATCCGGGTCACGGCACTCATGTGTCTGGTTTGCTCCAAACAGGACCTGACCCGGCAACAACTGGCGTGGGAGATGGGCACACCAATGACGCTAAAGACCGTATAGCCTCTTAATGTCAGTCACTAGTCTGGTTTACATGTACAACACTTACTCGCTGACCTCCATTGCATGAACATAAGGGATCATTTACATCTTTTCAATGGGAAATATTTTTTGGTTTTACATCTATAGACAGATGGCATAGAGAAAGAAAGATTAAGAACAAGCCATTAGCCAACACCATTACAGTTTTGATGGAAAGTCCTAAACAATACAGTATACTGTCATCTGATCAGCATGCTACTGATGTTAAAAAAAGATGTTTTAAGATGTTAAAAAAATATTCTCCGGAATTCAGAGTTATTCAGTTAATTCAAATACAACAAAAAAAGTTCCTAAAACACAGTTTAATTCAAATTAATATCGACGCTGAATCATATATGAATGGAAATTCATAATACTGGACACTGGGCACATTCTAAAGTCTATATATAAAATATATATATATACAGTATATATTGCCAAATATATATATTGCCATATATGACCCTGGAACACAAAACTAGTCATAAGGGTCAATGTCAGTTGATTAGATTTTCTGTGATACACTGGCAATCCCATCTCTCCATTTATCCATACTTACCTCACCATAAAACCACATATATTTCATACAATGAACTGAATAATTCTGAACTGTTTCTTTTGATCTCACTCTATGTTGTTGTCAGGTCAGGGAAGACTTGCACAAAACCTTTACTTTAACAGCTCATACCAACTGGCCTCAATTACACTCATTCCTAAAACTCAGTCCCATCCGGGTCACGGCACTCATGTGTCTGGTTTGCTCCAAACAGGACCTGACCCGGCAACAACTGGCGTGGGAGATGGGCACACCAATGACGCTAAAGACCGTATAGCCTCTTAATGTCAGTCACTAGTCTGGTTTACATGTACAACACTTACTCGCTGACCTCCATTGCATGAACATAAGGGATCATTTACATCTTTTCAATGGGAAATATTTTTTGGTTTTACATCTATAGACAGATGGCATAGAGAAAGAAAGATTAAGAACAAGCCATTAGCCAACACCATTACAGTTTTGATGGAAAGTCCTAAACAATACAGTATACTGTCATCTGATCAGCATGCTACTGATGTTAAAAAAAGATGTTTTAAGATGTTAAAAAAATATTCTCCGGAATTCAGAGTTATTCAGTTAATTCAAATACAACAAAAAAAGTTCCTAAAACACAGTTTAATTCAAATTAATATCGACGCTGAATCATATATGAATGGAAATTCATAATACTGGACACTGGGCACATTCTAAAATCTTTATTATAATTGATAATAGAATTTTGTGAATAACTAAAGCACCTAATCACACGAAACCATTTAGAAAACTGTCTTTATCATATCCATATAAAGTAAATAAAGGAACACTAATTTAAAAAAATTTCATTTTTTCAGTGGGAAATACCTTTTGTAATACTGTAGACAATTGTCAGCTGATCTGCCACATACCACTGAGCACAGCAGGTTTTACATGTTCATTATCATAATCAGAAATGAAAAGTGGTTCAGTTTATCAATATAAAATATGACATTTCCTTAAAGATATTTAATAAAATATGATTTGGCAGTTCAATCCTATATGCCATAGTAAAGATAACACATTTTCAATTGGTTCTGTCATAAAGAAACAGTTACCAAGTCTTACGTTATCAAGTTTGAACAAACAGACAGATATCACCTGTGATACCTTTGCATGCTGAATATAAATAAACCAACAAAAAAAGCAGTACCAGTTTTTCCAGTGGAAAAATACTTATTGTTTTACTGTAGACATATTGTCAGGTGACACAGAAAGAGAAAGAAAAAGCAACATCACACTTTTGAGAAACGTCACGAGTAATATGTTGTTGAAAAAACATGTGCTGATTTTGAATTGAATTTATCTTGAGAACAGCAGGTTTCAAATGTAAAAAAAAAATTGTCATTGCCTATTCAGTTTATCAATAAAAAAAATCACTTCCTAAAAGACCAATCCATTTTGCAAAGTACTTGTTCTAAACAGCAGGGGGCTTTTTCTGTTGTATCTATTATTTCTGAGATTTGATCCATTTTTTGTAAGCAACCTACTAGATTACTGTAGTAGCAGATATCTTATTAGTGCCTGATTCTTTTTAGACAATATTTTTATTCATTAATAAAGTGCTTGAGACTGTGCACACTATTTTGGTGCTTTCAGCCAGTCAGCGTGGCCAGGATAGCATATGCGACTATAACCTATTGTCAACTGACAGATAGTAAAAGCCAGTTAAAACAAGCCATTAAAGCCAACATTGTCACAGATTTGATGAAAAGTCACAAGCAATAAATTGTCAAAAAAGGCAGTTAAATCTGCCACACACTATTTTAGTGGGAAATACTTTGTTGAATGCAGATGACAGAAAAAAAAGAGAAATTAAGAAATTACAACAACATCAGATTTTGATGGAAAGTCCTAAACAAAACAGTAAATTGTCATCTGATCTGCCACATGCTACTGTATCCTACGCTGAGCACAGCTGGTTTCAGATGTTAAAAATGTTTTATCCGGAATTCAGTGCTGATAAATTTATCAACAAAGTATTTCACTTCCTAAAAACAATAGATTTCCTCTGGCTATGTAAAGAGTCTGGATTGCAAGGTGATGTTGTTATTAGGTGTAATGTCAATCTAACTTTCATGTTTCTTCTTAAAAGTAGACATCTTATACGAGTAATATTCATAGCTGCCTTAATTTTGCAACCTAAGCCCAGATCGGTATTTTAATTTAAAGAAAAGCTATAGTTTCCATACTAGACCTTTTCAGGAATGTACATCAAAGAAGGCTAGCAAGCCTTTGGATTCATTTGTATTTATAAATAACTATTGTTTCTTTTGTAGTGTGCATGCATAACGTATCACCAGATATATCCCAAAGACAGGTAGACAAATGTAAAAATCTCACCAAAGCATTTGTTGTAGTTAAAGTCGGCTTTATTTCATAATGCATGCTTTCCACTAGCACCGCAATTGGAGTCTTCAACCGCACAGGTGTAACCCTGCTCAAACAGGTGCTTGTCTGGCTAAAAACACCATCCCATTAAACCTTTAGTTTGGTCATAAGTATGTCTTTTTCTCTTTTTTTGGCATGAGCTGGCATTAGCATGGGCTCCGTGATCTACACCCATGTAAGTCTTAATTCTAGTTTTGTGTATTGCACTTCATTTGAATGATCTGTACTTCAGTGGATTATGTATGAAGGCATAGACACATCAATGTTTTGTCAAGAACCTCTACATGATGTTTCTGCCAGATGCCCTTTTGTTATAACAAAACTAACTCAAATAACCACTTGTTACAACCAAGGAATGCAGAAGGCCGAAGGACTTCACAAGAGTGACAAACAGTCAAAGAAAAAAAATTGCAAAAGGGAAACATTATGTCTTACAACAGTCCATGGTCATATACTGTGTGCTTTGTGGGAAGCTGTTCTGCCACCTCATGGACATAATGAGCACATGTTTCATTTAGTAAACGTTTCTTATCCAAAGCGACTTACAGTACCCTCAATCAAATAAAGTATATCTGAAGCAAGCTGGGGTCAAGTGCTTAATGGGCATAACTTTAAGAATTTATTAATAGTTCATCGACCACTCCTTTTTAATTTTCGAGTTTGTGTTTTTTTTTTGTTTTTTTTTGTGCCTTTTTTGACATTTGCATGTCATCATCTTTAACCATCAATGTACTGACCCGCGATTGGTGTCTTCAGCCACACGAGTGAAGACCAGATCAAACCTATACCTGTCAGAAGAGAAGCCAACAGTTGCTGTGATCTCACAGATGTAGCTCGGCTTCTCTCTCTTCACCCAGCCCAGAGATAGATGAACTTTCCTCCCGCCTTACGGTAGACCCGTCAGATCACAGCCCAGTCTCTCCCAGCCATCTTTCAGAAGAGCAGGTTCTTCTTTGGCATCTTTGCTTACCTCGAGGCTCGTAATGGGAATGTCAGATTCAGTGCTGCCGTAGAAGTACCAAAGAAAGATGGGATTTCCACCAGCTCCTGCATTCAGATCCTTGTCCACCAG